TTATCAACTCTCTATTTCCATACATTTAGTTTTGCTATGGCAGCTATTACTTTATCTTGAACATGAAACATGAAAACTTTTTTCTATGTTTGTAATTTTTTTCTCTATTTTCATACCGGTCGAATTTTGAACTATTAACTTGAAATTAAACTCCTTGAAAACTCTATGACATAGTTCTAGATATCGATTCAACAACGATCATCGTTGTGGACTAACATTTGTAAGTTACAAATAAGATAATCTACACTTTTTCAGGTTTAATTCAGAAAGTCTCAATTTATATTCAAATTTGTCAGGTTTGTTTAAAACAGTATCCATTCTAATTAGCAATCAACAATTTATTTTCAGGAATAATTGCCATTAAAATAAATCAACTAAAACAGTGTTATGTGAAATTCAGATTTGTCAAGCTTATTTCAGAATATATCAAATATAATTCACATTAATTTCTTCAAGTTAATTTTAGAACATATCAATTGTAATTCAAAAGGTGTCAATTACTTAAAACAAGATCATCCGATTTGTTGAGGTGTGGATGACATTGACGTTTTTGGTTAGCACGGGACCCCAGCATCCATCTAATTGGAGCAACGTCCGCAGCAGCTATAATATTTATGGAAATACGTCGGGGGATATTTATACCAGAAGCCCTTAATCAGAGAATGCGGATATTGCTTCAATTGTGAGGGGACGTTGCAAATTTTTGGATTGGCGTGATATTTAAAAAATAATGAAAATAAAATAAAAATAAATTGGAAAATTGATATTAAGTCAAGATTGCTTTTGACGAGATTTTTATTAAGGAACTTTTTTTCTTCATCGTTATGGAATCTGTTTTCAATATTTCAATACTAAACAATTTGCGGCATCATTAATTAAATTTCTCGCCATCTTTTGGGTCATTTCTTGTCCATTGACTATAACACATAACTAGAATGTGTTGCAACAAAAGTGTGTATTTCTTTTATTCTATTGGCTGTAAATCTGAATTAAACTTACCGTAATCTGAGATTCCTTTAACGCTTTCTGAAATAAAACTGATACATATATTAGAATTACGTTATGATACACATTAAAAAGTAACAGTTAGAATTAGAATAGATACTTTCTGAAATTAACATACCTTTACCGGAAAATATGTTAATCAGCTTCATTACTGCGGTATATTTTCAATTGTGCAACATGTAGTGATCTTTATAAATTGAGATTTTTTTTAATATTACGAATATAAGAATATTGAAAAACTTCCAAACGGTAGTTTCGAATACAAATATTCCCAGTCTATTGTTGCTAATTACAATACAACCTATAATAGATAGTAACTAGCAAATTTCTGAGCGGTTTTTATAGTTTCTTTCGTAATTACATGAAACGTTGAAGAAAAATGATTAACTTTATCTTTGATAATTGATTACAAATTTCCTGACTTGAATCAAAATGTACAGAAGGATATTACCTTGACAAAGAAAACATTTAAATTCCGAAAATTTTTTTTTTATCATTAACACCATCTGCAGTCAGTATTATAGCCAACAACAAAGAGGTACAAAAATGTCGTTAAGTTAAGGACACTTTGTATTATGTAGAGTGGGTTTAAATACAGGTTTACTATGTAATTCATCTCCCACCCTCGTCAAGTTAAGTACACGCGTGCTACATATTGCCCACTCGGGATCTACGTGTGTCCACGCGACTAATTATGCGACAGAGACCGTAATCATTTTTATTTTTAAATGGTTTTTAATAACGTAAACATGTCGTAAACAGCAATGGAGCTGTCTTCTTCTTCGTGTCAGGCATAAAGTGATGAACTTATGTTTGAAATTTCCTTTGGAACATTTATTGGAACTCATTTGTTTATCGGGTTCAAGTTTTTTTTTTTAACTCCCTAGCCCGTTCATCTGATTTTTTCTTTTTCTTCTAATTGTTTTTCTGATTTTTTGCGAAACTAATTTTCGTCAATTGCGGTTTTAGTCGATTTTTCTTCTTTTTGTACGGAATCCAATGTTGTTGTTGGCTCGTTTACGTTTCGTCATGACAGTGTCCCTTTTGTCTGTTTTTCGCGGTCGTGTTAGGGTTGCCTTTTTTATTTCCGAGTTTAGATGGTGTTCCATTTTTATGATTTGTTTGCTTGTTGCTTCATCGATGATTGTTTCTAGGTCTTTAACGTTGGCTACTTTTCTTAGCTGTTCGTTTGAGATGTACCACGGGGCAGCCATGACCATCCTCAGAATTTTATTTAGTTTTTGTTGCATTTTTTCCTTTGGAACACGTTCGCTATTGGTTATTATAAATATATTATAAACACGGTACGTCATACGTGTTTACATACATAATTACATATAACTATGGACATAACTTTAAAAATTTTACGATTAGAAACTTGACTTGTAGTAATTTTTTTCTGGTTTTTCAAATTAATAGGTTGTTATAACGTTAGTAGGTTATGCAAAAAAGTTGTGATAAATGGGGTTATTGTATCGGACCGAGAGTCCCATAATCTCGATTTAATTCTAACAATCGTTAAAGAGGGACTGAAAAAATATTTTAAGTGGATTTATTGTAGATTACACAATAATGGTGGTAGTAATTATAATAAGCAAAGACGAACATTACATTAGTTAAATACGAGTACTTAATTTTTGCATTTGAAACAACAAACTCATGTATTTCCTTATTCATTCTTATTCCTTATTGCTTCATTTACAAGTGTCAAATTATATAAATACATCCACTAAAGTGCAAGGGTATTAATACACAGCTGATCCTAATGGCCAATAAGTTCTAAAAGCCCACAGCTTCCAAAGCTATTATAAACATTTTCCATGGGAGGGTCATTATAGATGGTAGTACTTATAAATATGAACAGGTTTCTGAAGATGCCCAAGGGGCAAATCATAAGTGTCATTCATAAATATCGTTCTTATCTCATCATTTCTTTAATAAGAATATTTATGAAGAGTAAATTCAAAGTTTTATAGCATGTTAATAATTAAAAAACTTTATTATATTAATCGCAATTAAACCCATAAATGTAAATTAATTAAAAACAAAATTTACATTACTTCAGATTCTTCAACGCACCTCAACAATACAAATTATTTATGCAATGATGTCATTTATTACAAAAACATTTTGGTGTCTTCGAACTCTATAAGTCCACCAGACTCACCATGAATAAGTTCACCATGAATGGAGAAAAGTTATATATATTTTATTGTGTTTTTCACGACCACAATGTTCTGGGTTTATATCAAAGTGATCGGATAAATCCTTAGAACTTAAGAATCATTCGAAATTTTGAGACTTATATTTCCAGATTACCGTTGGAATAAATAAGGCTCATCATAAAATGCCAATGAGTCAAGCAGTTTCAATGATAAATTATCATAATGTTAATCTTTTTACTTATTAGAGATGTCCAAAAAAACTATTCAATTTAAATATTTATACTAACACACACGTAACACAATTGCACAACTGCTAAAATCCTCATTATGGTTTTAGCGGTTGTAAATAATAATGATAATAATAATGAGTCAACACAATTACTGTAAACATATAAGCCAGGATTAACATGTGTTCTTCGCATGTCTTCTTCTGCGTATAGGTATAATGAAAGTACCATTAGGGTGAATGAATTTTGACAGATAATTTAAATTCCATTCTTCGGCCGAAAATCTCCAGCATCTACATCAACTATAAAATGTTTTGTCTGTCGAAATAATGAATATTACTAATTTTGTATAAGAAAAACTAATGTACCAATTTTTGATACTTTGGTATCATTGAATTCGTCTTCTCATTATCTTTCCAAACCTTCCTAATATTACTAATATTATTGGGTTTATTAAAAAAACCCATATTGATTATATTTTTTATTTATAGGTTCTTAATGAAGGAACAGGAAACGTTATTAGTTCTGACGTTAGAAATAAAACTGTTTCCAGAATCCCTTTCAAAATTGCTGTTACTAATACAAAACACTATGCATGCTGCGACGAGACATCATTTGAGGAAAAGATTCATGGCAGCTTCATTTTGTGTAATGGCTTATCAATAAAAACACATTTTTGTTTTCTCAAAAGAAAAACAAGATAGACCGTTTCTAAGAAGTAGTTTTAGATTGTCGAGTTTCAATCACTTTTAGTTGAAATTATTAATTATAATTATCTCATGTACGACACATTGCAAAACATTATTACTATATCCTTTCGTTTTAAAATAAATTTTTGTAATAGAAATATTACTTATTTTACTATATCATAAAAATTCTTTCATTTCGACTTGAAATTGAATGTTCTACTCGGTATTTTAGTTTCATCATTACATTGAATCACCATGTACATTTTTAGTATTAATTTCACCTATAAATCATTTCTTAATCACTATCAATAAAGTCGTATATACATTAAGGTTTTTATATACCTTTGTAAACCTTGTTTTAATTAACTTTCTGCAACAATTTAATTATCCCCAAGTTTTTTTTAATTTGTTTTGTATCGCTAAATCAACTATTACTTTTGTAAATTCCATTAACTTAATCCATCTAATTATATTCCTTGTCATTTTAATTATTTTAAAGGCATATTTTGTTTGCAAATTAACACATTTTCCATTCTTTAGATTTAATTGGGCAACAATAACTTGTTCCTCATTCCCTATACTTCTTCAAATACACATTATTCCCGTAACTTGTTACGCTCCTTAAACACAAACACACACATAAAGATCGTTACCGGTTACCTTGTTACATTGTTAAGGCGTAACCGTACGTCAGGTTAACGTTGTTACTCGGCAATTCTAAGTGGTTATTGAGTGGAAGTCATAAGTTGAGCTACCGGCAATCTATTTTAAGCTGTTCTCCACGCTGAGAAGAGTGTGTTTATCCGATTGTTTTGTTTTTTTAAATAAATGGGACTTTGTTCTATATATAGAAATTTTCTCATTTAATTTATTTCTTTATGATAATGTTTTGAAATTTTTTCTTTTTATTTCAGATTACAAATACGGTACGTGATGCCGTCAGCCCGACTAACCCTCCGTGAGGAGGACGTCGTGCGACTGGCCCTTGAATTTTTACATAATCGTGAATTACACATAACTCAATTGAGTTTAGAAAGAGAAACGGGTGTAATAAACGGAGCTTATTCGGATGACGTTCTTTTTCTTCGGCAATTAATTTTGGATGGTCAATGGGATGATGTCTTGGAGTTTATCCAGCCGTTGGAAGCGTTGCCAACTTTCGATATGAAAAAGTTTAACTACGTAATACTTAAGCATAAATACATAGAATTATTATGTATAAAATCGGAGGCGAATACTCAAGGAAGTAGTGTAGATAATGCCGTTGAGGAGGTGGTTAACGTTTTAAGCGAATTGGAGAAATATTCGCCGTCGAAAGATGAATATTCAACGATGTGCTTGCTGTTGACGTTGCCACGATTGACGGATCATTTTAGTTATAAGGATTGGAACCCCAGTAACGCGAGGGTGCAGTGTTTTAGGGAAGTTTATCCACTCGTGTCGGAGTTTTTACCCGGTGATAAAAAAGCGGACCCAATGGTGAATACTTGGGCGAAAAACGATCGATTAATACAATTAATTATCAAAGGGATTTTATACGAATCTTGTGTAAATTACTGCCAAGCAAAAGCAACGGGTACGAAAGAGGCTCAATCTCAAGAAATGAATTTTTCCAGATTACTCGATGGAAGCGTTGGTTTCAGCGATTCAGATTTAAGTTTATTATCGTGGTTACAAAGTATACCCCACGATACTTTTTCGGTACCATTCGAACAAAGAACTTTAAACGTAGAATTAGAGAAACTCGAAAGGCCTTCGTTGGAGACTTCTTGGACGGAACATATGCTCATCACACCGATTAAACCAAAAACGTTTCCACATTCGGCGATGCCATTTACCAGACCACGATCAGCAGCCGATATTATGTCTAGATCTTTAATGCCAGCCCTCGATGGTCTTCCATTCGGTCTCGCACACGGAGCAAGAAGTGCCCAAAACGGTAATCCACGTGTTATGGCACTCAGCACAGGTGATATTCTCGCAAACGGTCCAATGTCGAGGTCGAGTTTTGCCAGCTTCCATTTAACAGGAATAAAAAATAGTAAACTTATGAATACATCAGTTGATAGACTCTTCGAAAACGACGGTGACGTATTTTTAAGTAATAGTTACGCGGACTTTCAACAACTCCCCTCGATACAAGAAGCTAGCACTCCAAAATCAACACCCGTACCACCATCTTCAGGACCTCGATCGAAAAGTCCTGTTGATAAAAAATCATCAGCTTCAACGCCGGAACACAGAGGAAGGGAATCGCCCGCTTCTGTTAGTACAGCGAGATCATCGCGGAGAGACTCTTTGAATGAAAAGACTATGAATAGTGTAGTGCCCCAATTGAACGCTGTGCTTTCGGGGCCCGCCCCAGGTTCCCCTGCTTTAGAACACAGCTTTACAGGCGAACTTTTAAAGGAGTTCCAGAGACAAAAACAGAAATTACAAGAAACGTTAGCTTTAAGAGAAAAGGAACGCGAAGAATTACTTAGGCAATTTGGACAAGATAATAAAGTTTTAGATGACGGGTAAGTTTAGTTTTATTTTATAAAAAAACATTAATATTAATTTATAAGATACGAATCTTTTTGATAATTTTGGGATATATAAGAATTTCAATCATTTTGTATCACATTGTAAGAATGCTGTCAGATTAACTGTGATGTCTTTAGGTTTTTTTGAACCAAACCATGACCTATATTCTTTTTTTAACTGAACGAACTGACCCGTTCCGTTATCGTGGCTATACATCGCACTCTGTCAAGTTTTATTGGCCGATTCTTGTTCAGATTTTAGAAACTGATTGCTACCATATGAAGCAGATTATTAACAGTTTGAAATACATAATGTATTGCATAAAGTGATGGTGACTGTAATGAGCCGAGGACTATTTTTTTTTCGTAGCGAATATCTGATGTCAACTTTAATACTGTTTTAAATTTTACACTTTAATCTCAAACATGTGAGCCATAAATGATAAATGTTTTGTTAAACGATAACTTTAAAGGCGGAGCGCTGAAAAATTAATTACAAAATAAACTTTTGTGGGCAAAATCTCAAAACTCGAAACACTATCTTGTTTTTATAATTGCTAACACAATTATAATCTATACATACAACTAAATATCAAACAATTTTCCGATTTATAATATGTTTATATAGTTGTGGCAGGCAAAACCACAAGCTTTAAAAATAAATTTTAAAAGATTACAAATTACTCTTAAATATACGATAAATGATTACGAATAAATAAAAAAATTAATAAAACGATTTAGGAGCATGAAAAAGTAGTAAATTTAAGTTTAAATTATAAATTTAAATGTTAATAGATGTTATACCTTGTTGGCTATAAAATAATAGGAAGTTTAATTGGAAAACATCACAACAACAGGAATTAATTAACTGGAGAGCTGAAGCCGGTTCTGCTAATTGAAATATAAATATAAAACAAATAAAAATATACAAAAACAATTACGTCAACATGAGTAAATTGCTGAAAGTTTTAAGGCACAATTAAAATTAAACAAAATATGAATATTAAACGTAATAATCGATAATATAAGTATGTTGACAGACAAAGAACAGATGTCATCTACTTACTTAAACACAAAAGGTGGTAAAAGGGAATGGAACGCACTTGTCTAGAACAGGGGTCGACAACCTTCTTGATCTATTGACCCAATAATCTTAATTGTTTAACAATAGTTCGCATATATCTACAAAAGAAAACGAGCATTTAATTAGACTAATTATTATTTAATTAAATAATGTAGATAAAATCCTTACTTTTATTTTTATTTGGAAGGAAGCCTCGATATATAGCCATTCTGTAAAAATTACAAAACAATGAAAATGTTTATTAAATGAAATTTTGTTTTGCATGATTGACAATTTCTTAATACGTTGTTAATTATGGTAAGGATCCTTGATGATTGTAACCAGTTCTTAAAATAAAACTCGTATTGACAAAAGAGATGGTAACGATAATCAATTCTGAATAATATCTTCTTTTTCTGCGTTACTATTAATAACGTATTTGGTAATTCAGCTTGCTCATAACCTAGAGTTTCAGCAGAGATGTTTCTAAATCTCTATACGTATTCAACTTCTTCTCATTTCTTCTATAATGCATATTCATAAAGTTTAAAATGACTCTGATATAATTTACAACTGCTGAGAATGTCATTAAAGCACTAATATTTGATATTAATCCACTTGTGAATTAACTGCAAACTCTTCAGTATCTTGGATGCTATTGTGCTTACCAGGTGTTCAGTGAATATCGGCCAAGAAGTAATGTTTACCCGTCGTTGCAACGAAAGCTGTTCCAATTTACAGTAATACTATGTTATGGTAAAAAGAAAATTCGTATATGGTAAAGATTGACTTATTGTTAGTACAAATCATTCTTGTAATTGGTTTTTTGTGTTTTGCTTGAAAATCACGAGCATTCATCGTTTCTGCTTCCAACAATATGGTCTTGTATTCTGCTAATTCGTTCATAAAATGGGTTCAATTGTTTATGAACAATAATAGTAAGATGATTTGAGCCAGAGTTTTTTGCCGAAAGATACTCCTTGATAGTGTAAATTCTTGAAACATGAAATGACTAGACTTAGTAACTATTGTGGATTTTTATTTACAATTGGGTCTTACGATATCTGTACATAACTTGCATAAGTTGCGTAGACGTTAATGATGTTGTAAAGAGTTCTCGGGAGATGCGTTATTGTTGTCAGAAATTTTCGATAGTTAATGCGAAAGGCAACCAGCTGAACGACATAATGATGATAACCATTATTATTATTTATTAACCATTTTTTGATGATTCACTCAATGCCTTTTATGGTTACTTTCTCCATGAGGTATCATTGGGCGAGACCCCTAGTTTATTAAGGAACCTGCCTATTTGATTTATTATAGCAGATGTGTGCTACAGAGCCAGATGTGTACACTCAATTTATCAGATGATTATTTTACTCTCATTGTTAGTAGATTAACTGGTAAGGACGTACAGAGTAATATCTATGATAATTTAGCTCAAACCAAACCTGAACGTAAAAAAGAGCGATAAAGAAATAACTAATTAAACACTATATTATTGGTTACATTGGGCACATTATAAATGCTTTTAACCGATAGTCACAAGTTTATTCGGTAGACGCTACAGGGTTTCAATATTAAACTAGCCGCAATTGAAGAACACTTGTTAATTGAGACGTAAGTGTTACGCGAGTTCTGGTTGGCGATTCCTAGACTTGCAGAACATATTTTCACAATGATCGTTGTTATAATCGGAATTATTGATAGTTGGCTGTCCGTTGGAGTGCCTAATGTGTATACAGTTGCGAACAAAAGTCTACATACAGCATTGAATTATGAGGTTTTTGTACAACGTAATATAAGATAACATAAAATTAGTATTACAATGTGATTATAGATACTTACTTATTCACAAAAAAGAACTAAACACAAATCGCTCAACAGCTACATACTAAAAATTCAACAAATAATACAAAACATAATAGGACAAAAGTTTCCATACGCAGTAGTTTTTAACTAAAAATAAATTATTTGGTCCATGTAACGACAGTTTTTAAAACTCAATATTTCGTTTTCCCTCCATGAGCTTCTATAACACCACGCAGGCGTTGTGGCATTGAAGCAACTACGTTTGTTGTCTCTTCTGCTGTTATTTCACCCCAAGATTCGACTAATACAGATTTCAGTGCTTTCGCATCTGATTTTGCGCTGCCGGATCTTACGTTCCAAAAGCTACCAAACATGCTCGATTGGATTTAAATCCGGATTCTGAGGAGGTGTATTCAACTGCTTGGGTGCTTGAGGTCATTGCCTTGCTGGAATATCCGAGGGCCAAGCTTTCCATTGATGGCTTCAAATTTTGTTGTAATTATACCGATCCATAATTCCATTAATATATGCCAGTTTTCCTATACCAGATGCTGTTATCGATCCCCAATCATGACACTACCTTCGCCGTGCTTTACAGTTGGTACTAAATTTTTCAACGCCATTGCTGTGTTTCATTTCCTCCAAATTTTTGCCCTACCATAACTTCCAAAAAAATTGTACATCGACTCGTCAGTAAACAAAACCCTGGACCACAAATCCATTCCCTTGTCGACATGAGATTGAGCAAATTTTAGTCGGAGACGGCGATTCTTTTCCGAAATCAGCGGTTTACTTCAGGGTGTTCTGCTGAAGAACTCTTTGTACGGTTCTTGGATGTGCAGACTTATTAGATACAGTTACGATGTGCTCAGCTAATTTTGGTGCGCTAACTCTGGGGCTTTTACTCACTTCTTTTAATATGGAACTAGCTTTCTTTGGCCGGCCTGTACGAACTTTACTAGTGAATGAATCAATCTCATTGTCATGTTGGACGATGGACTGTTGCTTGGCATAGCTTTACAATTTTGCCCCAAGATTTCTTTTCTTTTCGATGTTTTATCACCAATTTTCAACAGAAATTTTTTTTCGCGATGATATTTTGCAGCCAGTTAAAACAGTAACTAAATTAAGAAAAAAAAATGCAATGTCAGCTCCTTGATCTACTTGAATTCTTTAACTCAAGTGCATTGTATGTAGAATTTTGTCGTGTTAGTTTTTCCATTATTGTTGAATTTTTATTATGTAGCTATTGAAAGACTTGTTTTCTGTTTTTTTTTGTGAATAAGTAAGTATCTCTAGTCCTACTGTAATACTAATTTTCTATTATCTTATTATGTTTTACAAAAACGTCATAATTCTGTATGTAGATTTTTGTCCGTCACTGTATGTATGATTTTCTCTCATAAATACAGTAAAGTTAAAACGGGAGCCTAATCAATTCAATAAATGTATTCCATGTCTCTTTTTTCTGTATAAATTTTCAAACATTAAGCCACATGAAAACGCTCAAAGTAGAAATAGTTTCTATTATAAACAAGTTGAGATATTTGAAATACAATTTTCATAATAAAACATATTTTTCAACAACAATGAAAACACTAACTGTGTATTTTAAGTTGCCTATTCTTCAGGCGAATTTTATTATTGTTTAACGGAAAGTGCGAAAGTTAGCACTACAGAAATATTTTTATAACCACGATATAGCAATCATCTTTTTAATTACCCAATTTGAACTGCATATAATTCCCAATTAACACAACAACAGAGAATTGAGGTTCGAAATTAAAAAAAAAAATAATAAAATATGAAATTCTCAACATTGCTAATAGTAAAGCTTCCGTTATAAGTTGGCGATTTGTGATGGAAAGGCCGCCGTCTATTATTTGCGTTAATGGGTTTTGGTGTTCTGTTAGAGACCCCGTTATTTTGCATTGCCGATTATTCAGGTCTAATTATTATCAGATGAACAATTCATGTTCAAAATGTGTTTCCGTTTCATAAAAAATATAAATTGAGTAATAAATTTTAATCGGAATTTAAATTAATTTAAATGCAACTTTATTTAAATTTCAGTCTATTTTCTTGTTGTTCGTTACCATTTTGAGTAACGAGCATAGTCACGTAGCCTCCAGTTAAATACTTGTTGTGTTTTCCATGTTTTTGTTCAAACCCATTTTACGTAACTTTACTTTATTGATGTGCGACCTGTATAATCTCGGACTAATTAGATTGTTTAATACGCCATACGTCGTTTTGAAGGTCGTCCCGTAGGACTTAACAGAAATGGTATTGAAAATTAGCATGGTAATATTTACATAGTGGTTGGAGCATTATTAGTTATTGCAAACTATGAATTCATTTTAATTTGTTCCCTGTAAAAAAAAAATAGAATTTTGTTTTATCAGTAGACTTTTTTTTGCAAGTAATTTTCACTTTTAAAAGTAAAATGTATCGATTATAACGAATCGAGAGAAATTGCGTTTAATTAAATCATAAATTAATTGTGATTAATTCTCAAAACATCTTCGTCATACGTTTTGACCGTACCAAGCTGTCTGTATATAGATGATAACTCTGCAAAATAATGATGATGCGCTCGTTTCGCATAATTCCGACGAACAGCTTCAGTTCAGTACGTTTACGAAATCTTGTGGCGATAACACGTGTATTCTTAATCTCGAAAAGTTGTGAAAAGTGAAAAGCCTTCTTGTTAGAACTCCTTTTTGCTATAACGGTCTTAATTTTGATAATTATAAATTTTTACAGTTTCTTCTAAAATTTAAATAACATTTTTGATCCTTAGTTCCGCTCTGCATACTACATTTTTTTACATTTTAATTAAATTTTGTTTTAATTATTTTAACAGTTCATTTTACTTGAATATTTATTAAAAATTTTATTGAAATAAAAATTAATTTGTGGTGATGACACATTATGCATAAATAAAGTAATATCTATTATCGTGGTTATGATTCATATTTCTGAGTATTAAAAGTAGACCAAAAGAAAGATAACAAACAAATATTGCGTATCTTATATTTTCTCTATTTATTTTCCCCGTTTTTTTAAGTACGCTTAAAAAAATTTACTCGGCAACCGTTAATTTTTAATAACAAACCGGTCAATCTTCCTTAACTCCACGTCAAATCGAATTAAGTAAACGATCTCCCAATTAACCAAAAGTAACTTTAAATTTTTGTCTTTTCGCAACTCTTCGTTAACAAAGAACAGGTTAAAAAAAACTTTGTGTAGAAATAAACTAAAATAAAAAGTGAATAATGTATTACAAAAAGTTTTTACAACCTCCAATTGAATCAAAAATAAGACAACATGGATTAAGAAAAGTTGTAAGTTATGTGGATAAATCTGGATGTGAAATACACGGCAAGTTAGTATCAGTTATTTTCAAGTTGTAAAACTTAATAAAAAAATCAAGGTTTTGTGATAGAAAAGCGATTCAAATCAATTACGATTTAGATTTAAGTAAAACACTTCTAAGAATCACTTTGTTCTACTTTATGGTTAGATTTAAGTTCTTTCTTTTGTTCTAATTTGATTCCTTTCGATTTTCTTGCAGAAAACAAACTACCCAAAGAGCTTTGAATGGAGCCCCATTAAATAGAAATGCCCCATCACCGAGACCGAATGTGAATGGGTCTGGTGTTCATGACGTTTTTAGGTAATTATTGAATGCTTTGAATTGTATAGTTTTATTACTAAAACCATTAGAAATTAAGTTATCATTCTTGGAATCATTCTGATAGAGGTTATGTTTAGATATTACAAAGGAATGAATTTAGAATATTCTGGTGTATAAACTTAGCTTCTGAAAATGATTTACTTTTACTTAGCGTACCGATTTTTTTCACTTACATAATTATTACTTGCGAAATTTCGAAACCTTATTGTTTCTGATACCCATTATTATTTATTAGTTAATCTATTTATCAGATTGGGTTGAACTCATAGTATACAGAATTGCGCATACAAACCTATAATTATAATAAATAGGTAATCAAAATAGAATCAGCATGTTTATTTGGGATTTTATTTTTTATTTTGTAACTAATAGATAAATGGTTTAATATTAAATTTATTAATCGTGTTATAAAATAATGGTTATTATAATATCTATTTCGTTGCACCGTGATCGAATCTAAAATACTTTAAAACCGGTAGTATTTGTAAACTTTCATGTTTTACTAGTCAAAACTGTCCAAACACTGATATTTAAATAAATATAAAGTATTTGTAGATCGTATCGATTAACGCTGTATTCATAGTTCTTCATTAAAGAGTTTTTAGAACTAAAGATGATATTAGAAAATATCTTTAAACTGCCAGTTAAAACTCCACCAGATCAATATTTTTTTTATTGATAATTTATATAATTTTTATTGATAAAATTTGGAAATTAATACAATTATCTTCGTCACAACCATCTCTTGCTACACAACCAACCTCGATTTAAAGTGCATTGAATATTCTATTTCCTTTCTTCTTGTTTTCTCCTACTTAAATCCGACTATAAATTGAATTGAAATTATTGATGCCATATAAATAGAAATATTTTGGCAGAAGTACAAAATACAAATATAAGCAAATGATAATGTACACTACATTGTTAACAACTAACACATAATTGCGCCTCAAAATAATCATTCCCGTTGCACAACAAAGTGTTTAATAGGTAGACTATTTAGTTACTATTTTAACCTTAATTTTAATACCCTAACAAGGAGAAGTAACGTATTACATTAATAACTACAAGCAATAAGTTCTTAATCGATCGCAATAATCCCATTCAAGGCAGTTTTGCGTTAGATTGATATGTAGTAATATACAGTTAACAATCTATTTCTAATAGGTGGATTAACTGACCAAAAATACTGCCCTGAGATATACCTATCTCAATATCTGGCACTACTCTCATTCTATAGAGTTTAAGTTCTTTCAGTAAGAGTCTCTGAGTAATGTAGTTAAAGGCCTTGCCGAGATCGCCCTGCAACAAGAACAACGAACTGAAGACCAGCTTTCAGTATGGATGTCGTAACTGGTTAAAAACATCATTATTGGCAACATATAAAGTGTATAAAGTACATACACTTATACGAATAAAGTTATGATAGTTCCAATCAATAAACTTTGTGGCATTTCTTCATGATATTATTACATTATTTACTGTCTGATAACAGTCAAAAAGTGATCTAAATACTTGTAACTAGTACGTACTGTGAGAATCAAAGTTCGAAAATATTTTATCAATACAGGAACAAGAAATTATTACTGAATGAATCAAAGCTGAAGATGAGAGCAGATTTCTAAAATCCAAGGTCTCATTCGACTGTTAGAATGTCCATATTAAAGGTACTCATTAAAATAATGTTATATTCGTTGTTAATCCACTACAACAATTTAACAAGCTTATTAAAATACGCCTAAATGGTTTAGGCCTTTAGTATATTTCAACATTACCCAGCAAATTTCTACACGGGATTTAACATGCAGTGGAATCAGATTCTGCAATTTAACATTCCTAGAGTACCCAGCAAACGTTCCAATACCGCTATGTCGCATGTTTTATCTACAAAATGCGATACGAAACTTATTAATGTTAAACGCTCAAAAGACAGGCAGCATCATAATCGTATTGTCCAAGAATAACTCATCAACTTTATTAGGTGCACACTTAATATTCAAATGGATTCTAGAACATTGGAATCTTTCATAAAACGCATGAGATCTGCCCACGTACATCCAAAGAAGACTTGCGGCCCTCACTGAATTTGGCAGATGAATTTTAATTTACCGGTAAACTTGTTTCATACATAATGTAATGTGGAATTCTTTTGTAAAAGTTTGTATAAAGATTTTTTGAATATTGTGAGCCATTTCGTTCAATATCATTCTTCATGGTATTGTTTTATTACTTATTTTGATCCATGATTTTGGTTATGCTGGTCTTCTGTGATCAAGAATATTTAAGGGTTCAGATATAAGTGGATAACAAAAATGTGTTACTTTTTGCGGGCGAAGTAGAAATGTTTTTGTATTGATGCCTACATAGGAAATTTAGACTACCCAATGAATCCATCGTGAAAAATAACTCTTGGGCAAACGGTCTCTGGATCAATCCATTCAAATCAGGTTATTATATAAAAATGTGAGGACAATAAAGAACAGTGAAAGTGTATCATCTCAGCTAAACTATATACCAAACATATCCACTCTTCTCACACCGAGTTGTTTGGTACGATTTCATTATCTTCGAGTGTACTTTAGCTACATAGACTTTACATCAGTTTCAGTATAGCACTTAATAAATTAGGCTCACAAGACAACAAGTGATTTAGATTATCATTCAGTATTGAATAAAAGTCTTCGCAGTGAAACAATGAGCTAAGTGACAGTGATTTAAGAGAAAATATTGATGACTAAATAGCGATGACGACTTAAATTAAATCATTTCTATGTCAGAAGATGATGTTTAAGGATTATGAAAAATCGGGAGAACATCAGAACCCAAAATATAATTTAATGAGCAATATTCCTGGTCTTCAAAGAATGTAAAGACGAAGACATGTTGTGAGCAATAACTAATCGAATGAACCTTTGGTTACAAAAATTTCGTTATAAGTATAAAGTGGACTGTGTTTTAGGTTTACTCTTTTTTAGCGCGTGTTTAAATCAAATCATAAACATCTTAGTTTGATATTCGCTACCGATCTAACAGTAACAAATATTTTTCGGGGATTTATGAGGAGAGATATTTTCTGTGGTATTGGCCAATTCACACTTGGTCAGATCAAAATAGGGGGTGCATTGAAGAATACTGTATAGGGGTCTAAGTGCATCAAATGCTAACATCATTGGTTGGCAAAAGTTTATGAATTTTTGTTTTTTGCCATGAAGAGATTTTTCGTCGTGTACTTTGAAAAATCGTGTTCAATTATTATATTTGTTTTCTTTCAAACATAATTCGAAAATCTCACAAACTGTTGCGACTCTGATTTTAATCAAATCATTAATATGCCTCTAGGGCAACGCGATTTATTTAATCGTTAATATAGACGACATGATGTGAGTTAAAAATGATTCAAATCAAAATATAAAAATATCATGTTTTTTTTTTTAAATTTTTAATACACTCTACATCTTCAAAAACAATATTTCGAAATAACTCTCAAGAATATTCAGTTACTTTAAGTAATCGGTTGCTATTACCCTTATCACACACGCTTCCATTAACGCTTTTAGTAAACAATTTTACTATCAAACACATGACGACCTTCCAGTTTTATTACTGTAATATTTTTTTAATTATCCTCTAGTATTAAAACGCATAAACCGCCTTTATATCTTCAATTCCTCTTTAAAGCAATTCAATTTTATATTTGATAACATAATTAATACTTTTTGCTATATTATTGATTCATTCTCATTTATTATTTTAATAGATGTCCTTATTTGAGAAATATAACGCCTTAGCAATTTTTTATTAAATTAAAGTTTCTTTTTTTACATTATTTTTCTAGGGGGCCTTTACGACAAGAAATCGACCAAAGGCATCACGAGCATTACGATACGGTAAAGGTAAGTGTCTTCTTTTTCTTAATTGCAATGGAATCCGATTAAAGATGAACACTCGTACATTGATTGGTACTTTCATACAGAAAAGATCCGTTGTTTCTTGTATCTGTATATGGACGCCGTATATCAAAGGTTATAACAGTACTCCTTTGTAATTTCATTTTTTAATTTATTTAAAAAGTAAAGAAATGCTAAAATAAGAAAATGTAACAATTTTAAAGTAATTTTCGCGTTATTTTATGTTACTCATCATTAAAATCAAATTTAGTCCAAACAAATCGAATACCAGAAAACGAGAAAGCACAAAATTAGCTTAAAAGGTTCTAAAAAAGGTATGGATTTTTGTTTATTCTTTTTTTTTTTTTTTTTAATAAAAGAAGATTTAAAAAGATTTCTAACTTAAATCCAGTCACTAATAATTTATAAAATGCTTCAATCGTGTTCTTATATAGGTGACCTTGTTGCCCGAGGTAGACATGAACGTTTGCCATTTTCCAATCACTGTTTACTTCGTTCAAAACCGATCTAAACTATATTTCGAATTTCACTCTCAAAGCTCTTGTCGGAGAAGAATATCTAACATGTTTCAATTTTTTTAATGTATACCTCAAAGTTTCTCATAGAAAGCTTCCTGTTTCGCACGAAATAAAACGACAGTCATAAATCGTACAAACGTAAGAAAGTGAAACACGGATGCACATGCTTTCACTTTATTAAAACATTTTTAATGAAATAAAAATCGTTTAATATTAGATTATTGGATGATATTCTGTATTAATTTCAAAATTTCCGTTAGATCCAATTAGAAATGAATACGCCTTTGTAACTCGCGTGGCTTTAATCATCCATTTCTAATTACTACGTGTGGGTTGACCACCTCTCAATTAATTCATAACCGCCATAGAATTAAAATAGCAAAAACGAAAACATTAATGTAAAACTCAATAAGTTAATTGGATTTTGAACACGTGCGTTCTGTTGCTTATGTGTGTTGGTAAACATCACCTTTTTAAAAAACGAATTGGTTTAAAAACGTGTTGGGAACGTTCGCATTTTTGAATTGGTGGGCGCGATTCGGATTTGAAGTCCCCACAACACCGGCTGACTCTCGAACTGTGTTCTGTGGAGTGTCTTAAGTCGGAAAGTTGGCACGTTTGTGGACAGTCTTCGGTTGTGGTTCGACAAAGGAATGTGTCTGAGTCACTATTAGCTTGATTCAGAGTATTCTTTTTGTTTTAATTTGTTGTGGTTTTAGTGAACGTTTTATTTCAATTATTGTGATTAGTGGTTTTAAACGAGAAGATTTAAATTTTGAAAGTTAATCATTCTTTTTTGTATGTATGTATTTAAAATTTCATTTATTTAAAATTTTTAATGTTAATGAATACAGCGTTGATTTGTTTTTGAAGCATTACATAAGATTTAAAATTTTTTAAATGAAATAAGCTATGATTCATCCGTTATGTTTAAATACAAAAAATGATCTGGTAGTTTGGACTACAAGAAAATCCTGTTGGATTTTTAACTTTATTTACTCAATATACTCGTAAAACGTGACCACCTGTCGGGTTTCCACGAAAAGTTGCGCACGATCGAGTTTACAGTTCAAGTTTCGTGATGCAAAAATCTTATAAATGTCTCCATCTAAACTTGAAAACGGTTAAACCCACCTTTATCTTTCTATTACTTCTTAGAAATCTTAACTATCCACCTCAATCCGCATTTTATTACACAGCTTTCGTCCGTATATAGCTCGTCTTTACATTTCTGTTTAATCAGGTAAAGGTCGCGACTTCTGAGCCTGTATTTAGCCTTGTACAAAGTAAGTACATTTCTTTATAACTGTACTTGTTAATGTCATACATTTTTTGAACGCAATTATTTCAACAGTTTTATTATTTGAAGAAGTGGAAAGTGTTCCAAATTCTTATGTTTTCCTCGAAACTATCGCAGCCGTAGTTAATTATGAATGCGTAAATACTTTCTTTAAGGTATCCGGTTTATGGGACTATTAAAGAGTATTTATTTAACATATTAACGTTATTTTGTCTTTACGATTTCCATCTGTTACGGTTTTAATTTTGGATAATTAAAATTTACGATCTTTTTGCTCAATATGAACCGAGGGTGATTAGAAAAGAGGATTAATTTCAGAAAAAAAATCATATTAAGAAAATATAAACCTTTTAAATAATCACCAAAGTATCTGAACAGAATTAATTTATCAATATTTTAACTTTAGTTATCAGAATTAAAACATTACGAGCCTTAGGGTCAAGTAAAAGAGACCAAAGAAAATCTGTGTTCTAAATCTCAATCTATTTAGATTAAAAAACTGCTAAGCTTAAAAACTTTAATTAAATGTCTTGAGGAAGTTCTGTTAGCTTGCCGAAATCGTGAAGCTGCAGTTACTCATTAAGTTGATTTGGCGATAGTTAATCAAAGTCTGATTTTCTTATCCAGGTTAAATATCTGTTAGAAAATATTTTCCTTGAATTATCCAGTGATTTACTTAAAGGATTTAAGTCTTTTTCCATTTCCTTGCTAGCAAGCCTACCTACACGGATCGGTTGTTATAGTTCACTACCTATCTTAAATGTAACTTCCATTGAGGGGTAATGCTGCTCTGATTTTTTTCGAAGGTTTAGACAAGAACTGTTTATTTTGTCTTAGTTCTAGTTGGTTGAGAATGTTTTTCTTTAATCCATTCTTTATCTTCGTTCATTGGTTAATTTGTAGCCATGTCCACCGATAGTGCTTGATTAAAATAAGGCGGTGTGAAATATTTACTGACAAATTTGGGTTCATTCTGTCCCACTTTATTATTTGCAAATTATTTGACAGGTTTCATCATGTTCCAGAGTTACTTTGAAAATTTTGCAACAACGTAAGGGTTATAGCATAGAATTCAATCTATAGCATTGTTGGTAATTTTCTAAAGAAGAGCTAAGTACCAGCTATGGTGTCAAACTATAAACTTGGTACTGCTTTATTACTTCCTGTTCCAAAAAAAGATGTATGATTCAGTTCTTTTATTCACTTCTTGAGATGCCCAATTATTCACAATCCTAAAAGTTCATCTCTCACTAGACTGGAAAGATTTACAGTACGAGCCATAAAATGTCTAATCTGTCTGAAATGTCTCATCTGATGCTATGCTGAATTGCACGATTTACTGTATTGGTAGGTATATTGACATGTCTTGTGGCATGGGGTTATTAGTTATTCCAGCGATTTCAAAAGACAAATATCCAAAAGATAATAATCCAAAGATAATTTAGATATAAAGACCATTTTTAATTACATTCGGGTTATACATAAATATTTAAACGCCACACCGCACCTGTAAAGACGGTCTACTAAAGAACATAGTAGTATTTTCTGACGAAACAGGATTAGTGGATCTAAACAATTCTTTCATACGTTAAGTGTTTATTAGCTTAGGCGTTTAGGTGTGAAACACACCAGACATTAAGATGTCTAAATGACTCAGTAAGTAAGTATTTCGCCTACATTGAGAATTAGAAATTTTGTTCATTTAAGTTTCTCTCCAATTAATGTCTTCACGAAATATTGCTACATAGAATATATAATAATCCATGTCAAACGTTCTCACCAAATCGGTAAATGTGAAAATTGTCGGCGTCGAACTGTCAATTGCATCCCTGCCCTTTCTGAAAATTTCAGAGTACCGTTTTCGGCGAAGTATAGTATGCCCTAAAGTATCAAGTAAAAGAATGGTATAAACAGACATTACATTACACATTTTATTACAAACTTAAGGTTTACAATCTTAAGTAATTCACGACACACTTACAGATGTTGATATTTTATACCTTCGTTGTCAAATCCTAGGTGCAATGACAAATACATTAATAAGGCACAAATTAGGTACATTATCGAAAGCAACATTAAAATAAATGGTAAAAACCTACAACGACTGTGAGCTTGCTGATCAGCTAACATTTTTTTTTAAAGATGAAGTAATGTTTGACACTGCTACTCTTATTTCTCTCCACGTTACTTTTTAAGCGGTGTTTGCTTTTTCTTAAATCTAATCAAATAGGTTGTAGCAAATGGTTTGCAAGATTACTGCAGCTTTTTATTTTAGAGTTGGATATTAATTTTTGATATATTAATATTAATTTGCTTCCTTCTTTCTGCAAAGTCAATTTTTTCTTCTTCAAAGAATTTTAATAAAAACCTAGTTATGTTCAATAATTTGTTATTAGTTCCCACAAAATTTATTTCAAAATTCGCTTCAATAAACTTACGAAAGCTCCACTAGCTAAGTCTGGAATCAGCGTAATGTGCATTGCCTTTCTGACCATACAAACAAATACACAAGTATCCCTTTACTTATTTTCTAGATTTTGTTTTACTTTCCTTTAACTCATATACGCAGTACAGCTACGATAAGAATAGTTGCGAAGGTAAGATAATGTCAGTTGGGGGCCCCTGAAATATTCTATACATTTTCTAATACAATACTTGATTACTTACTTGCCTTGGATTAGCCAATCGCTTGTTAATGATTAACACAGTAAAAAGGCGCTAATAAGATATTTCTTTTCTTATTTCTTTCTTCATTCACTTATTTCATAACCGTCAAGCAAAGTGCAAGTAATGCATTTATCAATCGTAACTAGAAACATCATCTGAAAACAAAAGAGTTCATGAAAATGGACTCATTCCACCCAATTTGTAATTTCCATAATTTCTGTATTAATACTTTGTCCTTAGTTATCAAAGAATCTAATAGACCTAAAAGATCTTAAACCATCAAAGTTATCAAAGATGTTAGGTACAAGAGAAGTTATTATATTTATTTATTTATTGGCTTCATGTCAGTTATATTCAAAACTGTCTACATCTGGTAATCACAGCATTCAAAATATTTCGGAAACGTAATCACCCGACACCGCGTAACCAATGTTTGTGTCTGTTTCTAATAATGTATTAATATCGTTTGATCATAAACCAAGTTAAATTTTTGCGATATC